CGGGGGGGGGGGGTTCAGTGTCAGAGACCGTCTAACATGCATATTGCGGAAATGATGAACTAACACAAGGAACTCTATGGCCTCTAATGGAAATGGTGTGCGCAGTAGGTCATGGTAGACGGAGAATGCTGTTGTAAACCGTCTAGTGCAGTGATCTGCTTCCCTCAGGTACGGGGTACCGTTATTTCGCTCTGGGATGGTAGTCCTCAAATGACAAATAGGTGATGCGATCTCGGAAACGTCCTCTCTCTCTCTCTCTGAGCAGCTGGGGTAGACAATGACTAATGCGAACAGATGTTCTACTCGCCTACCAGAAATAAGGTAACATATTGCCACCTGAAGAATATATAAGACGTAACATCAACCGCTCCGTCCGATGAATTGGACGATAATCGCATAGACCAAGGAAAAGCGTTCAGAGAATGGACACATACAACCTTTAAAGTGCACTTTGTCCAGTTGGTTGTGATTTCTATGACCGGCTAACTTTCGCCCTCTACTAGTAGGAACCGAATAAGTTCCTTGCTGATTTATACACAGCTTTCCTGTCAATGAAAACACAAACTCGTCGGATAGAACTTTAAACCATAGTGAAACCCAGCCGTTCATATGCTGTAAAATCAGATGTGCAATAAGTGGGTTTGTACTTCCAGCGTGCCATAAACTTGAAGACAGCCACACTATAGAAAGTGATTCTCGGTGGTGCTAATCGGAACGATATCCCAAAGCCGGTTGATCAAAAGGATGCATCTGATACGGCTCATTTTAGAGCTCCGAACATGGAATATGTGCGTGAAACGTGATGTTTCACCGAGTAAAATATTGATCATACATTGGTGTGTATGCATAAGCGGCCTGTAATTTCAGGTAGATGAGCTCGATCATTCCCATAGCCAATGGCTGAAATACGGAAGCCTTCCCGCAAAATGCGTTCTAGTACTCATGGCACTATCGACGTGCCAAGCAAACTCGTAGTTTCGAATGTGTGGTGATGTATTTACGGAAAAAAAGTACTTCTCCTTTGAGGTGGTTTATCTCCCGTACTTCAAATGAACTTGGGACCGAATCCCTCCGAGTTCTTCTTGGGAGCACTGTCGACCCAACAAATGAGACGAAACTGAAGCCAGAAACACCACTGAATATAATTTTAAAGTAAGCGATGCATTATCATGGTGTGGCTATGATTTTTCTCTGCACACATGGAGGCGAGAAGACAAGTCTAACTATTGTGTTGAAACCTGCTGTGCGATTGTTTTGTTGAATGGCATTAGTAACAACAAATCACAGCCTCAAGTATTTCTCGTGCACTTAGAATTGTGCATTCATCAAGGCTGCGTTAGCTCCTCTGGATCCAATGCACAACTCGCACAAAGGGGCCACGATTTCCTTGTTTTCGGCCTCACAGAACCTTTCCAACTAACATGTTGCCTTCCAGGTAAACGAAAGCATATTCACCCAACTTTCTTTGTCCATGACGATCTCAGAAACCTATCAGATAGTGTGCGGATTCTGCGACTGATTAGTCACTATACTATTCATGAGGCATCTCAGACGCGGATGAATAAATATCTTTCATGGAAAACGATAGCGCTTGAGAATAGAATGGTTTATATCCTTCATATGGGCGCGAGGATAACACGTACCATGAAATAGTTCATCCTATCCACAACACGGACACACATTCGTTAGAACGTACTCGGATTTGCGTTCGACAGTTTTATGAATAAAATTCACTACCACTTATGTGCTGGGTGTCGGTCCGCACAACTACGTTGAAACATTCACAGCTCTAAGGCTAAAATAGCAAAAGTTGTCCGACACTTTATCACTCTGACAGCAATGAATACCTTTAATAGGTGCGAGTGTATGCACTCGATTCAAATGGGTACGAGGTAATTGAAACGAGGTAAGTACAGCTCCGATATGCAAGGACAAAGAACCAAAGAACCTTGGATACGTTAGGGTCAAAAAGATCGGTTTATCTTCAGAAACATTCTCCACAGGAGAGAACTATTTTAACCAGTTCCGAAGATGTTCCATGAAAACCGGGGTCAATTTGTAACCTAATAAGGACTTGTGAGTAACTGCAACTGGATTGGAGTGATCAAATGTTTTGAACGCATCGAACGTAGTCAATCAAGCAATTCAATTTATCAGCTATAAACCGTGTACAATAAGGACGTTCACTCCGGCTGCAACAGTTTCGATCACCAGAAAGTGAGGGCGGAGGACATGCCGCCAAGCAGCGGGGGCGATGGCATGTCCAGTTATTTCAGGAACTGGGTAGCTACTTATTGAAGGCGACGGCTCTGATGCACCACCGCCACTGACTGCGCGACTGGATCACTTCCACCAGTGTCATCAATCATTGGTGAGTTAAGTCTTAAGGTCCCCATCAAGGGAGACGGCAGTTGTCCACCCGACTAAATTCACTGATTTTCACACTTCGTTGCCGCTTCATACACTGTCTACCTCTCGGTCACATCCACTCAATACAGGCCTTGGCCAAAAAAAGCTCTTCTGTGCAGACGATCCTCTGGGGGGACCGTAGTGGACTGCAGGCAAAAATATCGTCTGACCGATCGGGTCACAACTACTTCAGAGTTGATATGGTCGGGTATTTAAGGGGGCAATGGGAATTACTTATTCAGGTGTCAACATCCCTCTACAAATTTACCGAAAATGTCACACTTAGAAGTAGGCGCTCTGGTAAAAGACACACGGCGACCAACGAAACTCACTAAACAAGCTACTGGAAGCGGAGAAGCTTTACCCTCCAAGCTTTTGAATAGACTCCTCGTATGGCTTAACATTTCGGACGCGGGAGAATTACAATTCATCGCTGCAGTAATTTGTCGGGAAAGGAGTACACCTTTCATGTCACCACCTTGTTTGTCCACTTGTTTGCATCAGGGGCATCAGTTCAAAAGCATGAATACAATCAAACAAGTGCGCAATACAATTGTAACTGATCAGCCTCCTGAAACCTGATAAACTCGATGAAACTAGAGAACATGGGAACCTTCCAATGTATCATCATCATCATCATCACCATCATTGACAGCATGACATCAGTGTTCAACACTGATGCTTCACTGCCGTAATAAAACCCTTCCAAGGTAAATCGCACACAAAGGGGTGGGAGGCCAAAGCAAAGTTTGAAACGACTAACGCCTCTGTCCCAGCTGATGGAATTATGGACAAAACGCAGCGATCACGAAAGACTCTAGATTGCATGTAAATATTTACAGGCTAGGGTAAGGAGTGATGTATCCTGGGCTACATTTTTTCGGCTTCGCGCCGCACTCGGGCGGCGAATGTTCGGGAAACAAGGTTCCATGCGTCAACGTAACGATCCATGCACATTCCAACACACTTCTGGGTGGAAAGGAAGAGGGTGATTAACAGCTTCATGAACAAACCTGTTCCGAGTTATCCAGACTCACGCCGGGTTTTGGAACACACTTCTCAAAGCACTTATCGGACATTCGCTGGCGAAGTGGAAGGAGTTAAGTAATATGAACGCTTACCTGTAAAAGCTCTTGTGCGCTTGCCAACGCAACCTCGGCCTTCATTTGTTCCATGAGTTGCTCCTTCTGAGCGCTGGTCAACGAGTTTAGATTGAGCCCAGAGCCGGAAGTGTCCATATTTGTCAGAATAGTGTAGATCCGAAGAAGGAAGCCGTTGTGGCTGGAAAAAAAACAGAAAAATACTACTGATAAAACAGGCCTATTGTCATGAGCAGAAATGAGTCACATTCGCCTGAAGGTTGGGTGTGTCAGCAAAACTGCTTCTGATAGAAATCGCCATCACGACGACAACACCATATGAGAACTCTGCTTTTTCACTGCCGTACCACCATGAATTCTCCAATCTATGGTTGTACGATGGCTGGCATATTGTCAGAGAGCCAACCTAAGCAGGAGAAGTAAACAAGTCCTAGAAGACCAGATGAGACGATGTCAGCAATTAATTTCATCCCTAGCCGTTCAGAGCCTGAACAACATGGATGCAGGGTCTACTCCATGCACACAAAACCATGTGTGATTGATACCCACAAAGAAGTCGCACAACTTTTATCACAAATTAGCTAACTCTCTAGGTGACGTTTCACAACTCCATCGACTGGGCTGACTGGGTGGCTTCAATATTGCTACTAAAGCTATCAGTTTGGTCGACCGAACCCCAGTATGGACATATTCGGGACAGAAAAGTAACACGCGTGAGGACCCCAAGATGGTTTGCATCTAGACCCACACAAACGAAATCAAGATGTAAGTTGAGCACAGCGAGGAGGCAATAACTTGAATTCCTGAGCGGCATTCAGGGCACGACCGGGCTGTCAGAAAACGTATCTAGCTAGAGATGTGTCCCAACTCTGGAAACAGCAATGACCGGCACAGCTGAATTTGCTAGTAATGGTTTTGGAACTTCGCTGCCAAGTCTCTGCTTGACTCTCTTGGCCCGCTTACACCCTTCCACGTGGTTGTACGAAAAGAGTCCGACAGAATTGG